ATCGGACCCCCAGGAGAGAAAGTAAGACCTTAGATATTCATCATACTCTATTTAAAGTACAGTTACATAATGAAAGTTGGCTCTAAACAAGTATTCAACAATAAACAGTCATATAATAGTTGGAATATTATTAACTCATTACATTATTCAACTCTATTCTCCAACTCTGACATTTAAATACTGCAGTGAAGACACTGAGAAAGTAAATAAAAGGGAGTAGGATGTGCTGTTGTCTGGAGGAGAACAACTGTTTATGTCATGTGACAGGAAGAGATCTTTAAACACATGTTACAGCAGGAGTCTATTGGATGCTTAAGAATTATAGTAGCCAATCAAATTCATACATCTCACAAAGGTGAAAATTTGATGGTTATTGTCAGAGATTATGATCTTATGCTATTCCACTTAAAAATGAATCTTCTAAATTAAGTTTGATATCAAGTGCAGGGTTTACCTCATGCACACGCAGTACAGCTGCCTCCATGAAGACTGCAGTCACTCTCACATAACCCGACAACCACTTACAGCTCGGTGACCCACAGACACTGCAGCTGTGACAGTGACAGCATGAATATCTCTGAAACTAAAGGGAAATTATGCATCAACACTTTCCCCTCCAGAGAATACTTACAAAAGAAGGAAAAAGCAGAAAAGCGACCTTCATTCAGATATGAGCCATTTCAAATAAGGAGCATTTATTGACCTTATATACGCTTTGTCTCCTTCTCCAGGGTCCCACAGGAAAACCAGGTCTCCCAGGAATGCCTGGAGCTGATGGACCTCCTGTATGTTTGTCTTTCGTCATATTGTTTATTAAGTTGAACCACCTAAAGCTAGGTGATGTCGTTTCTAAGCCTTAAACTCTCTATTTTCATGTCACAGGGTCACCCAGGAAAGGAGGGGCCTCCTGGTACCAAGGGAAACCATGTGGGTGCCATAACTCCATCACTTTATATTACTTCATTCATATTACTATTATCATCCATCCTAACAGGAGACCTGTAACCTCTGTTAGCTTTGTCCTTGTGGTCGTAGTTACCACAGTGTGTGTGTTGTGCTGTAAACCTGCTTTCTTTGGTCTGCAGGGGGTCTCCCAGGTGAACCAGTGAGTGTTTCAGT